TTAGTATTTTCACTGCTTATAATTGGTGCTAATATAGTTTTTTGTTACCTCAGAAATCATTTATCGCTGCGGCCGGACAGCAAACTACTCTTTGGCAGGTACATTAAGGTAAAACTGTTGTCATGGATACAGTCAGCTGTAGCCATCAGAATTAATTGTGTGCATGTATGTGTGTGTTTATTTATGTCTATATATTTATCTATCTTAGAAAATGGGCAAAACATGAGTCCTAACATTAGTGGAATGGAGGGAGGAACCATCGAACTATGACATTATTGTTTCTAAAAAGAACCTACTGAAAAAGAAATTTGAACCTGGGGATGTTGTGGATGTTGCCTATGAGGATGAAAGTTCACCAGCTACAGTTCTAGACATTAAAGGTAAAACGTACAGCAAACATCAAGACTTGTGATCATGAGTAGGCATTGGACAATAACCGGTTTCAAGGTTTATGTCTGTTTGGAAAAGTCACGGTTTTATAACCACCAATATTTTCTGCTATACCGTTTCCAAGGTATTTGTAAAGGTTTTTTATGTGTTGTAAAGAAATCTGTGTTTTTGAAACTAATGACGACAGCAGCGGTCAATGATTTATTTTAATTATTTAGCCTGACATGTTTGCCGTTCCAAAATATTTAAAATCTTTTCTAAAATATAATGTTTTTAAGTTGTTGTTTTTTACTCAGATTTTTAAAAATAACTTATTTTAGAGCAGTAATCACAATATTGTGATATTTTATCCAAGGTTATCATATCAACAGAAACTTAAATCCTGCTCATGCTTTATCATGATTTCAACTTTATCTATTTCTCTTTAGAGAACAAAGAAACTCTCAGGAGGAGGATATTCAGAAGAGGGGAATTTACAGACGAAGTAGAGAAGAAGTTTCCAAACGTACCAATAAAATTTATCAGAGCAGCAGTAAGGGAAAAGTAAATGATGAGCACAAGTTACAAGTCAGGTAATCATTTGTGCATGCACGCACACACACACACGCACACACTTGTATGGACCCTTTTCACATTTGCGTGTTTTTTAGCAGCTGAAATCATCATAGTTGGTAAACTCCGAGCGCAGTGAATGAGAGAGTACAATGAGAGAGTACAATGACTTTTTTTTTTTTTTTTTTACAATTCTATTTGCTACAGAAAACAATGTCAAATTTACTGTCCTGTCCCCATAGAAACTTCATTAGATACTCCTCGCATTGTTTTTTTAATTTGACATAAATATTGTATTATACATAAATGAATGTAAATGTACATAAGTTTAAAAAATCTAAATATTAAAAACTTTAAGGTATTTAGGATGCAGATGATCTTTAACAACACATCATAACAGTTTTGTGAAAAGGGTCCATTAATTGTTTATGGGGATTCTTCATAGCTGTAATGGTTTTTATACTGTACAGACTGTATTCTGTATACTCTACCACTTACAGGACACTTTTTTTTCCTTTTTTTTTTTTAGGAAAATGGAGTAAACGCAGCCTGTTCATTGGATTCTGGTCTACTTTTTATTTTTATTTTTTTTTAACAATTTTAATAAATAATTTGTGAAAATACATTGATTCATTGTGAAATTTCTCTAACTTCAAATCTATCCTGCACAATAATCCTCCAGGAACTGTATATTTTAATAGACCTGTAGGATTGTAATTCCTGCAGGAACAATCCCTGCATAAATTTCCTTCATAAATTTCTGTCTTAAAATTTCCTTCACAAAATTCCTGCAGGTATTCCTACAGGAAAATGAGCTGAAAATCCTGTAGGATACCTGTATGAAATTCCTGCAGGATTCCTGTAGGCTATTTTTGTAAGGGGGCTTATTACCTATCGTCGATTAATTCAATTTAAACTATTTAAAAGGGCAGGAAGGGCACCTGTTACTCTTTGTATCCCTCAATGCCCTCTTATGGCATAAGATAAGGATTGATTGACAAAACCAAAAAGACCTCACCTCATGTTGCTCATTATTTCTAGTCAGGACACCTAAATACCTTCTCTATCCGCGCGTAACAGGACGTACCAGGACATCCCATAACTCTTTCCGTAAAACAGTTGTGCAACAATCCCCAAGACAGTTTTACTAACAACATTTCCCCAAATATTTAGACGGGAGTGAAAAGGCTGCGCATGGCACGGGACGCCATTATTCATATAGCGCGACTATAAGAGTATATTTGCAGAGTTTGTAAACACGCGGCCATCTTTTCTGCCAGTGGCGTTTCGAACACAGCCTGTTTGTTGACCGTGATATAAAATAGTGCTGTGGGGTTTTGGATTTCCAGAGAGGGAGTATATTGAGTCCATGTGGGGAAGACGGTTTTAATCGGAGCGTTACCCACATTTCTTCCTGTTTCTAATTTGGAGCTGCGGTGGTTTTTGTCCGCTGGCCAGCAAGCCTCTCATCCAGCGAGTGTCCGTTTCCTCTGAAGTGAATAGTAGCAGGTGTGTTGGCACGTTTGTGAGGAGAAAAAGCTCCATCTTTTTTTTCTGAGCCTGCCCTGCATTTGTCTTCCTCGGAGTTGGAACATCCTGTAACAACGTTGTTTACGCCCACGCTCTCATCATTAAGTGGAGATTAAATCATTTCACAAATAATATCGCATGCGCTATAGAGTTTCAATAACACACTGTCTCAAAACTGTGTGATCACATTTAACTTCGTATGAACTCGAATATTACTCAACGTATATTACCAACACTAATAATTGGAGCTTTTATGTTATCTGGAATCATTTAATAGTTTACGTTAGCTGTTGAAGCCCATTTCAACCATATCAGAAATATAAACATACTGTGGGGCCAAATTATAGTTTTGATATGAAGAAAAAAATCATAAATCACTCATTTTCCATTGGCTTGTGCCTAATTTATATGTCGCCACAGCGGAATGAACCACCAACAATTCCAGCGTATGTTTTATGCAGTGGATGCCCTTCCAGCTGCAACCCAATACTGGGAAACACCCATACACAGTCATTCTCACACACTCATACACTACTGCCAATTTTGTTTATCCAATTTACCTATAGCGCATGTGTTTAGACTGTGGGGGAAACCGGAGCACACGAACCCTAGCAAACACAGGGAGAACATGCAAACTCCACACAGAAATGCCAACTGGCCCAGAAAGGATTTGAACCAGCAACTTTCTTGCTGTGAGGTGGCAGTGCTAACCACTGAGCCACCATGCCACCCAAAACTCATATCATTATTACATAAAAGGATACACTGATGACATATTAAGTCAAAATAATCATATTCAACAATGTAAATATGACATTAAACATAAGTTTGAATGGAGAAATCAAAATCACGTACAGAAATTCACAGATTTTCCACAGATTTTTAGCCCATCATTAATTCTGTTTATTTACTTGAGTAAATGTGTATAAATCTATATTTATTCAGTATTTTTTTATTAATTTTAGTGATATTATTGACTAATGTGAAAATGTTTATCTGATTTATGTACAATACAGTTTGTAGAGTAATATTTTCTGTCTTTTACTAGATATATTATATGACAAACTTGCTTTATTTAGATAATAACGTGAATCTAATTGGATTTTTATTTTAAACATCAAATAAAAGTTAAAAAGATATATATATTTTTTTTTCATATATTAAGGTTTTAGTTATGATACTCCCAAAATAATTCCGCAGATTTTTACCAAAATTCTCAGCAGAAATGGCAAAAAATGTCGAGATGTAAACTAAAAAAAAAAATCATCTCATGAATACAGGACAGAAACACAAATAAGAGATGAAATTATCACATCAAAATTAAGTCATGATCAGAGTAAATTGAAATTTTGCTAAATAAAAATGCAAATTTTAAAATTTCCGTGCTCTATCATTTGGGAAATATTTGAAATATACATACAGCTGAAGTCAGAAATATTAGCCCCCCTTTGGATTTTTTTTCTTTTTTAAATATTTCCCAAATGATGTTTTACAGAGCAAGGACATTTTCAAAGTATGTCTGATAATATTTTTTCTTCCGTAGAAAATCTTATGTGTTTTATTTCGGCTAGAATAAAAGCAGTTTTTAACTTTTTAAACAACATTATAGGGTCGAAATTAATAGCCCCTTTTTATGTATGTATATATATATATATATATATATATATATATATATATATATATATATATATATATATAGATTGATAGTCTACCGAACAAACCATCATTATACAATAACTTGTCTAATTACCCTAACCTGTCTAGTTAACCTAATTAACCTAGTTGAGTCTTTAAATGTCACTTTCAATACACACACACACACACACACACACACACACACACACACACACATATATATATATATATACATATATATATATATATATATATATATATATATATAGGGCTAATACAGGGTGTCCGCAGGGTCTTATAAAGTATTAAAAGTTGATAAATTAATTATGAGAAAATTAAGGCCCTTAAAAGGTATTAAAATGTCTTAATCATATTTTTACACGGTCTTAAATTTTGTTCAAGCGTTGCCCAAAAGTGTTTGACTCCAAAAAAAAAAAAAAAAAAAAAGCATCTAATATTTTTTTTCCTCCTAAAATTCACGGGATTGGATCGGCAGGGGCAAATCCGGCCAAGCTCTGAAACCATAGAGTGAAACAGATGGCAAAATGGGAAAATATAAGTTTTGCATACTCCTGGTTGGAGAAAGACGATTTTAAACAGTGGCTGAAGCCTGTCGCTGAAAACAACCGCGTGATTTATTCTTTTAAGCATTTTTTCCGAGCTTATCTGAGTTCTGTTGCATGGTTGAGCTCCATTGATTTATACAACTGTTTATTAAGATAAACGTTTGATTCTGATTAGCACTTGAAGTGGCGATGAGGTCTTAAAGTATTCCGAAAAGGTCTTTAAGATGTCTTAAAAAGGTATTGAAATTACCTTTAGGATTCCTGCATATACCCTGCAATAATTTTGACTTCAACTGTAGATTAGTTTAAAAACCAAACAGAGCTTACTGTATACCATGATGCAAGGCGTCATAAAAGCGTGGCATCTCCACCCGTCTCCTCCACCTCTTCCTCGCATGACTTCAGAGCCGGAGAGCTGAACCCACCCACTGTGCTACACCAGGCCTCCAAGCCCCAAAAACAAGCGGGAATGTCATCTCCCGACCTGTGATTGGCAGAGAGAGCAGGAGAAAGTCACAATCTGTTGGAGCTCATTAGGTGCAGTGAAAGCAAACGCATGACCCCGTCCCATAGCAGGAGACGTGCTGTCAGGACACTCGCACTGGCATTAACCTCCGCGACCTAACTTCCGCCTAATGAAGGTTTGCTTTTAAGAGGCGCTGCTGCTCTTCATCTCCGCTTGCAGTCCACACAGATTAAACAAATCCCATCCTTCCAGCGATTCAGATTTAAAGTGCACATGAAACTAAAACTAACTATACTGATTTTGTTAGCTCACATTGCTAGTTTTGTGGTGAACAATTCACCTGTGTATGTCATTAAGAAAAAAAAATCCCTTTGTTTGTCCTTGTATTCCAGGGGTCTAAAACTCAGATTGGACATTTCAGTGACTGACAATTCAAAGGAGGGCCGTTTTAACATCCAAGCACAAATAAAAAAAGTGGAAACCAGACATAATTAATGCATCATAAGACAACAGACATGACTTTAATATTTCCAGAATTACCTGTCACCAGTGATAATGCAAATCAGCACGTTAATCGTGTCACACATCAGCTGCTGAAATATATCTGTGGTTGTGTGTATGGCCGGGCGTTAGACACACACTCTGTCATTCTTAAACAGAGTATATGCAGTCAAAACTCTATCTTTTTGTTCCTGTTGTACATTTAGAATTTAAACTTTTAGAGTTTAAATTGCTATGAAAATACTACAAATATAACAATTTTAATTCTGTCCCAACCAATTGTATTGTCCAAATAGCGTAAGAAAAGCAGTTTGGCCAACTTAAGTTTTACTGGCAGCCGTTGTTCCCGATAGCTTTCTTATTTATTGTCAAGCTACAACAAAGAGGGGAACAGTAGGTTTACAGGTGAAGTCAGAATTATTAGCCCCCTTCGAATTTTTTATTTATTTATTTATTTTTTATATTTTCCAAATTATGTTTAACAGAGCAAGGAAATGTTCACAGTATGTCTGATAATATTTTTTCTTCTGGAGAAAGTCTTACTTGTTTTATTTCGGCTTGAATAAAAGCAGTTTCTCAATTTTTAAACCCCATTTTAAGGTCAAATTTATTAAGCCCTTTAAGCTGTATTTTTTCGATAGTCTACAGAACAAACCATTGTTATACAATAACTTGGCTAATTACCCTAACTTGCCTATTTAACCTAATTAATCTAATTTCAATGTCACTTTAAGCTGTTTAGAAGTGTCTTGAAAAATATCTAGTCAAATATTATTTACTGTCATCATGACAAAAATTAAATAAATCAGTTATTAGAAATTAGTTATTAAAACTATTATGTTTAGAAATGTATTGAAAAAATCTGCTCTGTGTAAAACAGAAATTTGGGAAAAAATAAACAAGCAGTCTAATAATTGAGAGGGGCTAATAATTCTGACTTCAACTGTATATTCACATTTAGTTTAACAAGTTCAGTTCAACTAGCAGTGCAATTTACTAATGTACATCATTTTTATGCAAATCTTAATTAGCATATGAGCAAAATCTAATAAATGAGAACGTTTGAATCGAATATTAGCTAAATTATCATATTTGTTACACCACCAGCATAAATACTAGGGGTTTGAACCTACACTGGTCTCATGGTTCGGTTATGATTATGCCATCAATTCGGTTCAATTTGATATCTTGGTGCATCTCGACGCATTGACGATGCTTTCCACAAACAATTGGATATTTTACTTAACAACACAATAATTCTTGTACTAAAATGTCTCATTAATAAATGTATTTAAATGTATATGCTATTTGTAATACATTTTTTGTCCTTTAATACAAGCAGTCAGACATACGAACTTTACCTTTAATTTGACCTGCTCAAAGAAAACACACTTTTTGAACGTATCAAACAAAACCCAAGGACATGCACAGAACAAAATAAGCATGTAAAGCTAATAAACAAATATAAATATTATCCTGCTTGCTTTTTGAGCATTGTTGAGGGAGTTTTTAAATGTCTATTATTGATCGTGCGCTCAACAGAAAGGGATGCGATTGGCTCTGACGGTCAGCGCAGCGCTGATCAGCAAACAGTGACACGGACACTGTTGTTAAACAGCCGCGGCGATCAGCTGATCCATCGCTCTGCAGACACGCTCGTGTCTAGTTAACGTTATAGTTGTAACAGTTGAGAGAGGAGATAAAACATTAACTCACGAACACGCCAGCAGGTCAAAGGGACCACAGAGAGTGAGAGGAAGCTGGGTTCTGATGCAGGCCTACTTCCCTGTCGGTGAAAGACTGTCCAGCAAACTCACAAGCAGTGAGTCACAGTTATCTGTTTTTTTAGTAGTATGTTTTAAGTAGTTGGAGTGTTTTAATTACTCATGGTCTCCTTACTCGCCATATTAAGTTACTGCCATATGTGATAAATGACGTCAGTACAAACCGGTTGTGATTATTACTGAACCGATACCGAATTGTTCGCGTCTCCATCATGGTGCATCTATAAATCAATTAATTTTGACACCCCACATTTTCAAAAAGCACATATGGTGTAAACATCACTTTAATATCATTCAGTTAAGTTTAATTTAAACAATTAAAAGCAAATTAGACATTAAACAACATCACAATTTCTTTAAGAGTAATACACCTAAGTGTCCTCTTTGACGTCAGTTCATGGCACCAGGTAAACACAGTGGGGCGCTTCCTTGCTTCAGCCTATGTATCCCAGTGAGCGATAAAACAATGCAGTCCTCTGTAGCACACCCTTGCGTTGTCTGTAATACTGTTATCCCGGTAGTGAAGTTTTTAAAACGTCCATTTCCCGCTAGCATTTAAGCGCAGCTGAGCACGTTCTTAACCTGCTGATTTGCCATAGTATTCACCAGTGAAATGGCTGTGATTGCCTGTGAAGTTCATCAGTTCACTGCTCTTCGCAGATTCCAAACACAGATACACGAACACTGGAGTGTTTTGAAGCGGTGAAGATCATTTGATTCATCAAGCGGATTGCTCGTCCGTGTTTGTACTCAGTAAACATCAGTAAAGTGTGGTGAACTGCTGACCTTCAAGGCCAGACACAGATATTTCTGTTGAGCACGTGAACACAATGGCAAATCAGCGCTGTTTAAGAACGCCATCAACAGTGCTCAAATGTTAACATTTTTTTTAAAAATTTCAGTACCGAAATTTTGTATAGTGACAAGTCTAATATAGTGAAAGAATCAGTTCAATAACTTAAGTTTGATAAACGGCATCTAAACAGTGTGTTTGGGAAAGAAAACGTTAGCTAACTAGTGCCATTTCCCTTAACTTAGCTGAAATTGAGGTGCAATATCACTTTTTATTTTCACTTTTCATATAGAACGTACCTTCGGGTCACTCGGAAGGCGGTGAAATGATAGTCATTATTTTAGAAGATTAATTATCATTATTTGACTGTTTCTCGAGATTGAATCCTCATAAAGTTCATAAAGTTCTCAGAAAGTTTCTTATGATTATGACTTGCAAATTGTATATATATATAATGGCGTGATCTTTTAACCTGCGTCCAATCCCGGCTAACTTCCGGAAAGGCAGAGTAGCCAATAGCGTTAGAGATAACAAGTACACCAAGTCCCGCCCCAGGACTGACAAAAATAAAAACTGTTTCGCGCGAGCAGAGAGAAGAACCAGCGAGCGAGCGGAGAGAACTGATCGCACGCGCTGTAGGCATGACCTCGCTCACGAGAGCGTCCATCGTGCGCACAGATGATGATGTGCGCCTGTGCGCTCGCGAGCTGTAGTTTTCTCGCGTGTAGACCTGTAATCTGCTTACGGTTCACTTCTCCTCGCGCGCAAACATCACCGCTGTGCTCGATTAATATTGGCATTGATTTGCCGTCATAAATTTGTGTCACTTTCTCTTCGCTGATAAGATGTGCAGCCAGGTACACAACATTCCTGTGCATATTTCCGAGTTTCTTCCCACCGCAGCTTCGATTTCGCTGCGGCCACGTGAAATCAGCCTATAAAAGAAAAAATATTTTATTTTGGAAAAACAAATAACTATAACTGTTACATTAAAAGTTACATATTTAAATGTTTACAAGTCTACATTACCAGGTCAAAATAATGATCTAGAAAGTTATATGACATTCCTCTGGGAACTGTCACGATACGCAAAAAAAAAAAAAAAGGTCGAAGCTTCCGGTTCATGTGGACTTTAAAGCAAGAGAAAGTCAAGGCTTCTTTTGGGCCAAATGATCCATGTTTTTCCCTTCATCGAAGGAAGCATGGTGATGAATCGCAAAGCTTAACGCGACCAAAACAACAACATGGTTGTTTCCCATGAACCGTGACTTCCCTCCACACTCGGACCAGAAGTGATTTAATCTCGGCGTGATTAGTGGGCCTGCGTTATTTGAAAATCTGATAAAGCGTTCATTTTGCATGCGCAAACCGCATCCAGTCGGGGCTGTACAAATCTTTTCATCTCTGAGAGGTTCCAGCTTTTTGCCTTAATGTGGTGGAGCTTAAATCAATAGAGGATACAGTCCCACATTAATCTTCACGCTGTGAGTTTCACAGCTTTGAAATAAGAGCCGCGACCATGAAGGGAACATTGTTGTGAGCCGTGTTTCAGGTGCATCGCAAGTCGGGCAGCTTAAACGCATTTGGAAGACTTTGGATGGATGTTTTTTATTTGGCTTTGGCCTGACGCTCTTCCTCCACATGTGAACTCGCACAGTTGTGTTGGAGCGTGCATTGCCTTGAGGTCCGACCGACGTGAACTTTTCGGTTTCTTCAAATGCCTGCCTGCCTGCTGTGAGATGTTCGCTACACCCGATCGGACAGGCATGTCCTGGCTCGGTGTCGGCTCAGTGCCTTTTATCTGGGATCAAATCGGAGCGAGTAGCTGTCCGCCTAATTGTATCACATTATCTCGTCATTGTTCTCGGCGAGCCAAAAGCTCATCTGCCACATCATAGGGCCCCTATTAACCTCCGACCCTTACTGCGTTTGTATGGACCCGGCTGCTCCTCACACCCAACCCTGGGCCCATTAACACATCGCTGTGGCCCAGGAAAAAACTATTTTGACGGGGCTGTAATTGCTGCTAAGTGACGGGAGACAAAGATGGCCTTTGTGTGTCCTTTCGGATAGGATGCAAGACCCCTGTCGGGTCCGTCTCCACACCCACCTCTCGGCGGGCCGTGTTTGAAAGTGTGAGATAATGAGGGAAATTTTTTTTTTGGAGGACGGCGCCCAATTACATGCTCCAAATCGAGGGCGGCAAGCGCTGATTAGGCGATGCGTTCCCCTTCTCGGTGCCTCTGAAGTGACCTCCCTCAGGCTCGGGGTGTGTAATGAGTTTACGTTAGCTACAAAAGGTCAGGGGCCGCTAAAGGTCGCGGCATTTCCTTCAAGGCAGTGCACTGTGCAGCAGGTGCTGCCATGAGGTCATCCCTACTC